CATTTTCAGGAAATGCTGAAGGATGAGGTACGTACAATTACGTACCGAAATGCCATTTATCACAATAAGCATTTGTTCAAGGACAAAATTGTCATGGATGTCGGCTCGGGCACTGGAATTCTGTCGATGTTTGCTGCTAAAGCCGGTGCTAAGAAAGTCATTGCGGTTAGTTTTTCTGTTAGAACTCATTCTCACTATGTTTCCCTGAGACAACGATTGACGATGGTCGTTTGATGATTCTCATCTACAGCTAAGGCGGCTTTTGAAATTGTTTTAGGTGCAAAAGTTGGATCATCCGTGTTTTTCTTGGGGAATATAGAGTGTCCTCTTGGCAGGGGATCTTAGCTCGAAGCTTTTTTTGAAGTTTAACTTTTAAAGGGGATGTATGGATGGCAGTAATTTAACAGTAGTATGTCTCGGTTGATAAGATTGCCGGTGGTTTTTTTCGTCAGAGAATTCCATAAAATGTAGGCTGGAGAAATTTTTAAATGCAACATCTTGCGTCTGCTTATTTGCAGTGAAAACTAATTGTAGTGATATCGATTTCGCTTGTAACACGCTGAAAAATGTTTAGACAGTGTAGAAAAGATAGTAGCTGGTCTTATATTTAGGGAAGCGTTTTTAGCTTGCCATTATCCTGAGTTCAGATCCCGTGATCAGTGCCGGATTTTTTTATCATCTCTTTCTTTATTCAAAATTACTTGCCACAGTCGCCGTGGACTGATTTTATGTCACGCATATTACCCGCCAGATCGACATGCATTTGACTTTGCTTCCTCACACCTATTAGTTCCCGTAAAAAAAAGTGCATTGACCCAGATGTGCTGCTCGTTCGTTAGAATTGCCACCTTCTTTACGTGATTTTTTCAAAAACTCTTAGAAATTTGCACTAGCACAGATTTGCTTTTGGCATAGCAACATTTCCATTTTCAGATATATTAGTTCTTTTGCCTCATTTATTTCTGTTTAACGTAAAGCTAATTTTGTTAGTTTATTTTTACTGTTTAACAGATCGAGTTCTCGAATATGGCAACGCAGTCGAAACAGATCGTAAAGGATAATAATCTGGAAAATATTATCACCGTTATTCATGGAAAAGTAGAGGATGTCAAGGAGTTGCCCGATGGAATTGAAAAGGTATTAGGAACTTAGCAAGCACTCATTGATTTTATCGCTAGTGCCTTTTTTAATCGCTTCCCATGCAGCACTGCTTACGAGGGAGTGAGGCGCTGTTTTGTTTCTCTAAAATAGATTGGAAAGCAAGCTGAAAGCCGTCTGAATCTCTTGCATGCTTAGGCGTTTCGGTGTGCTCTCCAATGGCTGTTCGAGATGTTTGGGCGGGTGATTGTTATTCTTGCAACGGCGTCCTTGCTCCGGAAGAAGAGCACCACACCACTGTTTCACATCGTAGCATAGATCTTTTAATCAGATGCCATTCTGTCATCACAAATTGC